GGTTTTTGCTACCTGACCAGGTTTTAACGAGGCACCCATCCTGGGTTGATTATATCCTGATGTACATCCCGTAGACCTTTAATTTGACTTTGCACTTTCTCACGCACTTTTTCTTAGACTATAGGGTATTGTCTCACCCTTGGTTTTGCAATAGCCATTGGGTTTTTGTAAGACTTAGTTCCATGTGCAAATTCCTTTGTCTGAGACTAGCGTGTTCCCAAATCAGTGTCGACGAGTTGTCGTATTGACACCCCATATTTGAATATATCGCACTTAAAATTTTAATACTAAATGACTTATATGTTGTAATATGAAGAAAAAAAATATAAGCCTCAAAAATTTTTACAAATACTTTTTAAATACACCCTAAGTCATTTCTAAAGTTAAATAACCTGGATCTTAAGGTTTTTTTCCTTACGTTCTCAAACCTACTGTTTTTTATGAATGAAACATGAAATCGATTTTCTGGAAGAGGTATGACTTCATATTTTTCTCATTTTGCATCAATTTGAAAATTTTATTAATTGTGAAACCGTAAATCCCAATACCTGCTTTTGGGGTCCCCAAAAAGGTGGCGATATATCACTATGTCTTTGCTGAGGAGATAAAGATATTTTAGTGAATATCTTGCACTATTTCATTTATTACGTATTTGTAGGTTGGAGCCTATTGAAAATATGCATAGCTTTGTTAGGCAATCGTTTGTAGTCTTGTAGATACATGTGAAAAGGTACACAATTTCGGTAGATACTTGCTTAAACTTTCTGTGGATTGTGAGGTTAGTTTGGATAATCAAAGTAAGTCTATTAAGATCATTTTTAGTTTAAAAATAGGTTGGCAATCCATACGTTTTTTTAATACCCCTCACGCCTATGAAAAATTTCACACCTACTTTTTACATTAAAATTTTTGACTTATGAAAAATGCCCTCACACACCCCACTTATTATAAGTTTTAACAAATACCTACCAAATTTGTTTATATATTCAGCAGGCATCTACCGAATTTAAGATTTGGCATGTCGTTACCAAAACTATGAGATATTTTAGCCGGATGCTGCCAGCGGAGAATGGGTTAATTAGAGGTAGTCTTCGGTTAGAATTGCCCATGAAGCCCAGCCAGGGGAGAATGGGTTGATTGGAGATGTGAATGAATCCTGATCGGACTGCCTACATGACACATCCCGATCCAGAATGTCCACCTGGATTCCGAATCGAGTTGTGCTGGCCGACACCCGGAAGGTGACGAAACCATAAAGTATAGTGATGTGGAAAATGTGAATAAATTTAAACCTAAAAGTGCCTAAATACAAGAGTGCGCATGTTAGCGGGAATGAACTCATTTCACACGTGATGTTAGAGCATAAGTAAAGTAAAGTAAAGTAGGATGAGAATTATACCATCAAGGGTAATTTCCTATACCAAGATTTGCCAAGAATCCTTGTCAATTCGAAAGCTCGGCACTAAAACCTGGAAGGGCGAAAAACAAGAGTGAGTGGGCCTAAAAATAAAGCTTTATAAAAACATTCTTGAAAACATTATAAGCCCTCACCGTAAAATAAGTATAGTTTCCAAAATATACATACTACGTATAGCATGAAAACACTTACCGTAGCCTGCAAAATCACAAGAATGCCATACATAGCAATATTGCGTAAATAAACACATAACAACCAAAATCACATGATCTTGCACAAACAAACATATCATAATGAGTGTTCATCGACACATGTTGACACACGAGTTCATGCAGAGATATTCTATTATGACCAGGGCTGGGTGTAACAATGATATACGCTCTAGTACTATAATCACGTGAAGATTGATGCTATGCACATCACATATGAGTCCTAATTGCCTTTAGCAATCTAGGAAATGACTGGCACCTACAATGGATCCAAAGTGAGCGTACGGTGCGATGTGCACATACACATGAAAGACTGGCCCTGGCCCGGGCGAGTACTAACGCTGGTGCAACAACAATGAGCAGATAATGCAAATATCATCATGCAATGGTAAAACGATAGTTCACAACACCGTAATATTATTCACGGCCATAAATAAAATTAAGGAATAATAATACGCATACCTGTGCATCCCGTAGAATGAGCATAACTTCAAAATTTCTATCAATGCGCTAAATCTTATAAACATCACTCTAATCTAGGCGTATTGTAGAAAACTCTTTATGAAATGTATAAATGGAGACTAACAATTATATATACTTTATAAAAGAAAAGACCCACTCACAGTTACTTGCGAGGTCACAACCGTTCAAACTAGGATAACCGAACTCTCCAATAGTAATTGCACCACAGGATTCCTCGGCTGTGGCCAAAGTTGGCTGGAAAACAGCTCAAAAGCCATCGGGTCTCCGCCTGAAAACTGGAAAAGTTTCGTCGAGTTGGTTTCTCGATCGAAGAATTCGAGAACTCATCGAAGTTCTCCATCCTCTGTTTCTCTAGTTTGTGTGCAGGCCCAGGGGTTTATTTCAAATTTTTGGGCTCGGTGAAAGAGATAAGACAAGGTGATAAGTTTGGATTATGGTGGTGGTCTGGGTGGTTCACCGGAGGAAGACCGGCGATATGGGTGTTTGGGTTTACGGGTAGGGGAGAGAGAGAGAGAGAGAGAGAAAGAGAGATGAGGGAGAAGATAGAGAGAAAAGAGAGAGAGTGTCCAAGTGATTTGGAAGGCACGAGATAGGGGGAAAGGAGTGGGGAGTCCCACGTGGGTGGGTCCTACTGGACAGAAACTCAAAATATGAAAATAATAGGGAGCCAATTATTTAGAATAATGAAATTATAGAAATGCCCTTCGACTTCGTAAGTCTGTAAAATCTTCATCGTAACTCCAAATTCAATTCCGCTCATGCATACGCATTCGTATTGTCGAGTACTATAAGGATACGCTAAAAGAATATATTGTACGTCTCATTATACATTGGTCAACGAAAGTCAACACCTTCGCCTCTAGGGGCATTTTCGTCAATTCACACTTTTAAAATTTATAAAATTGTAGAATTAGGGACAGGTTGCCATACTACATATCTCCAAGGAAAGAGAATCAAATTACTAGGGTATTTCTAAGAAAGGAGTACATATCATGTGTGCTACATTAGAATACATATTTGATGACGGTGCCTTGACTTAGGCGTAGGCGACACTTCTACATGTCTAGGCATAGATGAACAGCATGTAGAGAGAATACGTGTGGTCCTTGTAGAGAATGAGTTTATTGTATCATCAAAGATCCTTGGGGAATTCAAAGAGAAGTCCCAAATAAATACCTAGGCTAGAGTATGTATAGAATCTGGAGAGAGTAATCCCAATTAAACCGAGGGACCATCTAGGAGAGAATCTAGGATAAGATATCCTATCTTCGTAGGATTATGATTACTGCCAAATCCCCAAGATATCCTAATTTGACATGAATTAGGTTTTCCTCTCTTGGGGATAAGTAATATAGGTACCGGACTAAGAAGGCTGACAGTCTGAGAGTCATGAGCCATGGGTATTCCAACGTTTGTTGCCACCAAGGTTACATGTTAGGGGCCTAGAAATCATGGTCCCACACCGCCGAAATTATGTAAGTTTCCAACAAGCACCTACCTAAGACGTGCATATTTTTAGTAGGCTCTAACCAAAGAGTGCACAAATATAATGGTTCAAATTTTTGGGGATACGAATCACGATTTTGGGTTTAACAAGCATAAAAACGTCATTCAAATTGATACAAAATGATAAAGATATGAAGTCTTAACTCTTGCAGATCCTCCAAATACTCGATTTCATGTTCCATTCGTCAAAACTAAGGTTTTTTTCTTCATTAAATGTGTCTCTACTTTTTGTGGTTTGTGTTTTGTTATACAATTGAGTGGAAGAGTGAGTTTGAAAGCCTGAAGAAAATTACAGATTAATTTGGGGTGTATTTAGAAAATAATTTATTTTTTAAGGACACTACCTTTTCAAGCATAAGTAGTCATTTTTTATTGGGGTTGTAAGTCATTTAATATTAAATTTGTAAATGAGGTGTATCCACAAATGCTAAAGAGATTCTCCCAAAAATGAAACTATCCATAAATTATTTGTCACCTCATTTTTTTCGCATAATATTTTATAATGTTGATACGAGAATTAACGTTAAACTGTGAGGTGATAGAGAGTACATGGAAAGTCCCACTTTGCTAGAGTCTTCTTAGCATTTCTATCCAACACTCATTTTTATCTCACACGACTGAAATTTGAATTTTTTTCAATTTATTCGATATAATGATTGAAAATTGAGAAGGGTGTGAGAAGTAAAAATAGACGTCGATAGCAATACCCTAAAACAAACCCAACACCAAATAAAATTGGTTTTATACCCTAATTGAACCCTAGGCTTGCTTGGAATCCTACTGGAAATTATCAAAATTCCAAACGTATTCTCCAAACTTAAATCCGTATTTAACATAGTGAAAGAAGGATGCGGCCTAAAAAGTTCATCTGTCATCGCAAAGTGGGTAGTTTGTCTCATGACGTTGTTCTCTTCGAAACTAGCCTTGCTGCTGATTTTTATAGTGTTTGACCCGTCTCATATTATTGTCAGTTGATGAGATAATCAAATAGATAAAAAAATGAACATTAATCAATGCCAACATAAAAAGTTCGTTTATTGACATAAACCAAATTTCCTACTTGCTAAGTAGATACTTGGGACTTTAGAGCAAGTTCCTCCTTAAAAATACGTTATCATCCAGCCCATTTAATCCACTCATTCAAGCATATGCATCATTGCGGCCGATGTGCCAAAGATCATGAGCACGAACGAGGCGCACCAAATTTGAAGGTTGAGGGTTAAATTCGTTGTGTAATTAGATCTCTTTCTCTTTCTTCCAATTTTCTGGGTTGTTTAGTGTACAACAAATAGTCACCACTTAATTAAGGACGCCAGATTATATAGATACACCCAAATCCGAAAGTAAGAAAGTGAAAAACATAAAAACTGTACAAAGCCATTGAGTTACTTTGAATGTCTGGTTTCTTCATTGGAAACAAAAGGCCTACTACAGCACCATAGACAATTAGGGCATAGTTGCAGAATCAAGGAAGAAAACCGAAAACATGTTCCGAAACTAAAGCAGTAAGTTATGAGACACCTTGGAGACGAAAATTAATTGGTAGAACCAACTTCAAAAGGCTGGTTCTTCAGCACCTCCAAGCCGAGGCCGATATGAGATCCTTGCACTGCCAGCAGAGAACAAGCGAAGACTGTCTCTTCTCGATGTGGAAACCCCCAACCGGAGTCCGCTGCACCAAGCACTCGGCTTGGGACTCGGTGAAATTGCTGAATGTCAATGGGGAGAACCCAGATGACAAAAACAGCGTTCTCCATGAAGGTGTTCTTTTAGGCAAAAGATGGCAGCCTGTTACAATCTTTTCAATGCCTGGTTGGAGCAAGTACCTCTCAATCTTCTGCAGGGCATCTGGGTTTACATTTGCAGCATCTATTGATTCAAGCAAGCCAGAGTAAGAGTAGAGGGCTTGGATTATTTGGTGGGGAAATGGAACATCGGTCCGGTCACTGCCTCTGTCCAAAGAAACCACAATTCTGGGAGAAAGCTGCTTAACAAAGCGCAGGATCAAAGGAAGCGATAAGGGGTTATTCGAAAAGGAGCCAATCGGGAGATTGACAGCAACTGCCACACCCTCAGAGGCATGAAGAGGCAATCCCAAAGAACCAGAGTTCAATGACTCAAGGCTTACAAGTTCAAGTTCGAATGCCAAGTTGAGCTCACTAGCAAAGTGTTCGAGGTTTTCTCGAGTGAAACTAACCTCGAATTCATCATGGGTGGAAGAGGATATAAATGCAGTGATTTTAAGAGATGGTACACCCCCATTTCTCAAGGCAACTTCTTGCATAAAAGAAGCCCATTGGCCACCATAGCCAATATCAAAATCAATAACATGAACACGATTAAAGCCCTCCACGGCTTCAAGGATGGCTTGGTTACAAGTAAAATTGGCAAAATGGACAACAGGTGAGATTTCAGAGAACGATTTATAAGCACCAATCTTGAAAATGAGGCTAAAAGGCGACAAGGCCGAAGAGCAGTTACTAGAGGTGTTGGTGTTTAGGAGAAATTGCAAGGCCTCCTTGAAGTAAAAAGCAGTCCTTGAAAATGGCTTACCAATAGGAGAGAGCTGGTGATTGAGCCGCGCCAATATCCCTTGCGCGAGTACCGAATTTCCTGTTTCGATCAGCTCTGCTGCATTGAAAAGCTGGTCAATTACTGCTTGCTGAAACTGCTGCTGCTGCAGCTGGTTCTGGTTCATCATTTCTTTACAGCCCTCTGCTGGGCTCATCATTTTCTCCTTTGCCACCGGCATTGTTGGCCTTTGCTGCTGAAGGTGCTGTGGAAGAAACTGAAGCTGCTGCTGAGCCCGAACCACTAGCTCTTGCCCGGGATTCGAAAACGGTACCCTTTGGACCGGGTAACTGGGTCCTAATTCACCAGAATTGAGCCTTTTTGACGGTGGCGGTGACAGAAGGTGGTGCTCTTGCAATTGGGCATACGTCAAAGGCATAAACATAGCTGGGTACTGTGCAAACTGAGCTTGGTTTTGGTTAATTACCATCTGGGGATTGAAAATCTGAGGCTTCTCATCCAATCCCATGCTCTGTTGCTGCTGAAACATGCCGGAAGATTGCGAAACCAGAAAAGGATTGCTCATTGAAGCAGAGAAGATTGCAGGGTTTGGTCTCACATTGCTGCTCCGAGTCTCAACATTTGATGCATTATTACTGAAATTAAAATCAGGACCAGAACTTGCATGTAGAGAGGGGCTCACCAAACTCCCAGAATTGTTATTGGGTTCGAATCCGCCTCCGTATCCTCCTTGATCCACCACATCTTGAAACCCTCCGCCGCTGAATTCCAAATCTTGATGGAGATGATCAGAGCCGCTTGAACTCTGCAGCAGCGTGTTCAATCCGAGAGACGGGTCTTCTATATCACTCATAATCAACCTCAGGATGGACTGCTCTTGACCGGGAGACTCAGACAGAACGCTCTCCCAGTCCTCCATGCCGAGGGGCGGCCCGCATTTTTGTTCCTCTAACGGTGTTCGAGATGGGTTTTCAACCCCCGCAGTAGTTGTGTCTGTAGAGCGGCCGCAGCCACCGCTGGCTCCGCTGCCGTGGGAGGAAGACAGTGTTGAGGAGGATGTCGGAGGGCTTGGGCTTCTTCTGGTATCGAGAACAGAGGTGGGCTCAGAGCTGCCCACATAACAATTCTCCTTGCTGTTTTGGTGGTGGTGATTCCACTTTTGCGGCGACGGTGGCGGCGGCGGCGATAGAAATGAATCTGAAGCAGCAGCAGCAGAAGAAGAAACAGAAGAGAAATCTAACACCCCCTTCCCTTGAAACTCCTCAAAAGGTAGGGGCATGGCCTTCATCTAACAAAATCAACACAACTATAAATCTCCACAAACCAAAACACCCAAAAATCTCCAGCTTTTCTTCAACGCCTACGAAACTCACAACCCCAAAAGACACAAATCACAAATGGTTCAACTCAAATTTACAAACCAAGACAGCTCAATGCTAAAAACCCCAAAAAACTCATATTTTCTTTCTGGGTCAAACAGAGACTACCCAACTACATGCACAGCTCAAGAAACTAAATTTCACTACCCAAAAGCACTTTTAACAGCTTCTACTGCTCTGCTAGCTTAATGGCTTTTGTTGTTGCAGAAAAAGCTTTTGTATTTGAAGCAAACAGGCCTCAAGGCTCAAGACCCATGTTTGGAACCATCTTCTTCTTTCTTCATTTCTTCCGTCTGCGTGGGTTGGGGGCTTTTGTGGGATTTTATTTTCTTTTCTTTCTCCTCTGCTCCTTTGGTTTGCCTTGAGCCTTGAGGGTTAATGGTACTTCGTCTTCCTTCTCTTCTCGGCTTTGTGGATGCGTGCAACATATAAAAGTGGGGATAAAGTGCTCTCTCTCTCTCTCTCTTGTTTTTTAATTTATAATTTTTTTTTTTATGTGGCTTTTGTCTGTAGATGTAGTTGTCTATCTCGCTGCTAGGGTTACTGTCACTCCCTTCAAACCCACTCGCATGCAGCACACGTTAATGCCACCTATTCCGCCATAATAAATAGTAGCGGGTGGTCAAGGGCTAGTTTGGATTGCCGTCCTGAAAAAATGCTATTATCAAAAGTAGATTGAGTTAGTTCTGCTTTCTACTATTTTAGATCTATAATTGTGACCCTTATAATTCATTATTTCTAGATAAAAACCTATCTATCTTTAAAGATCCAGTTTAAGCCCTAATTTAAAATTTGCAAACATATAGGAACACTATTGACCTATTAATGCAATTTATTTACACTCATGCCACTCATACTTTATGGTCCCTTTTTCAAATTCCTAAATTTATGCCAAATTAAAAGTAGTAGAAAAAGTGAAATAAAATGAAAAAAGTGTTTGCATTATCCGTATCTATGTTAAACTAGAAAAGTAGTTTTTTTTTTTTCGTGATATATTTTGTAGCAATTTTATCCATATTAATTGGTAGGTAAATTAGTTTGTTCCAATTATTTAAAAAAAAATACTACACCTATATTGTATATTTTGAACCAAATAACATTCCTCTAACTTGTAGGTAAATTATTTTCTATGTATTGTTATATATGTTAGACACGTTTTGTTGTTGTATAAACATGAGTGGAACATAATATTGTTGATTTTATACATCAAACTGCATTTCTTTTGTTATAGGTAAATTATTTTCCATGTACACTTATGTTAGGCAAGTTTAGTTGTTGGTACCTACACCCATGGTATAATTGGTGTAGGTAAATTATTGGAAATTAATTTGTAGTTAGGTAATGAACATTTTGCATCATTGGAAATGAACATTTCAAAGAGTAGGTAGGTAAATTAATTTGTTCTAATTATATAAAAAAAATTACACAACACCTAGTTATATTTAATTTTTCCAATTATTAAAAAAATTTATGCTACACCCAACCAAATAACATTTCTCTAACTTGTAGGTAAATTATTTTCCATGTATTGTTAGATATGTTAGGCACGTTTTATTGTTTTATAAACATGGGTGTAACATAGTATTTTTAATACTATGCATCGAACTACATTCCTTCTTAATATAGGTAAATTATTTTCCATGTAATTAGTACATATGTTAGGCACATTTTGTTGTTGGTATATTATTTTGCATCATTGTAAAAAAGAGATATTGTAGGTAAATTAATGTGCATGTAGATAATGAAATACAATGTTCTAATATATTAATAAAAAGGGATAAATTCAAAAGTATTCAAGAGTAGGGTGAAAAAACTAAATCGAATAGTTTTATGAAAATTCAAAACCTTTCTAAAAAATTAATATGCAATAAATTTTTAACATTAATGTTTTTTTTTTTCTTGTTGCAAAATCATTTAATATTTCCTTACAATTAATTGTCTACATCAAGTATGTAATAGGGGTATTTTAGGCATGTGAAAAATGTAAAATGTGTGAATTAATATGAAGTTAATGAATTTGCTTATGTGGATCCTAGTCATTGGGTTTTCTTTGAGTAAAAAAGTTATGTAGGGTTTTATATGAAGAAAATTGAGTTTGAAGGGCTAAAGTCATATTTTCACTTTTTTTTATTTACCAAACACAAGTTTAGTTCAATTTTTTTTTTAAATTACTTTTAAAATAATTTCAGCAATGCCAAATCAGTCTAAGAAAGTTTTTATTCCCACTTAATAGTAATTGCCTTTGTCAATTATTATTCACACCAATTTTTTAGAAAATAAAGATACGAAAGAAATAGATTTGTAGGGAGTTTTGGTGTGGGAAGTGAAGGTGATGGTTGTGCATTATAGATCTATTAATTATTCTATTTCTTCTCATTTTTTTTGGGATTTTTATTTTAATTTAAGAAAATTCAATCGTTGGATGTAGATAACAGTTGGAATCAGGTGATCTATATCAAGCTACGTGGTTGAGGCAAGACTTGGAGTGTGGTCCAAATCAGCTTGCACTATGACAAGCTCACGAGCAGAAGCTACCAGGTTAGTTATTCACCAGTGTAGGAGATTTTCTGACTCTTTATCATTTGTTGTTCTTGCCATAGCAAAGAGAATATTGATGGAAGTGCTCTAACAAACAAATTTGTATGCACAAAAAAGAGAAGAAAAGTGTTCACTTACTTACAACTAGACAAAGATTAATTTTTTTAATATATATCTTGACACAAAAATTCTGATCTTTACACGAAAAAACTTGAACGAATTTTCGGTCTAGATACATAAATTCTAATGGTGTCATACTATACTAGAAAATACTAATATTGAACTAAATCTTACATGATTTTAGAAAAAGTAATATTCTATTGCCAAACTTGGCATAAGAAAGTCTAGTGTTTTCAAATTAGTAAATTGTGTGGAAAATAGTCAAATTAATTAGCTTAGGTTGTTATTTAGTATTATAATTTAGTTATATTTATTTTTATTTAGAAGTGAGAGATCTTAAATTTGAATATCTGGTGTACGAATTCGTAACCAATTTTTCTCTCATGCTCTTAATGTAAAGATAATATTGTTGTATCAAAATTAGTAATCTAGATTCACAACTTTATATATATATATATATATATATATATATATATATATATATATATATAACCTTTAAAGTAAAGACAGCGCAAAAGAACATTTCTCAATTGAAAATTTCGCTACTTTAAAAGTAAAAGTACAATTTAGATGGGGTATACATTGTAACTAGATGATTGCCCAAAAAGTAAAAGTAAATTTGATTTTTAATCAACCTTAAGTGTTCTTAAATTCTATTCTTGCTAAAAAGTAAAGTAAATTTGATTTTTAATAAACCTTAAGTGTTTTTAAACGTTGAATCATATTATTGTTAGTTTATTGTGAAGTTTAATCAACTTCCTCTTGTTTATTGTTTTTAAAAAAAAAAATTTCCAAATCTATTGCACTCTCCTAAAAGGCGCGTGAGGAGGCTCCAGTGATTGTTTATTTATTTTATTAGTTTTCTTTTCCCAAGACCAGAGACAGAGAAAAGACGAGTTGGCTGGAGTGGTTTTTACAACTTTTAGCTTTTACATTTGGCTACAATCTAGCCAATATTTTCATGTGAGTAAAGGGGTAGATCAGTAATTTACGAGAACAACTTCTGCCGTCCTGGTTTTCGAAACTGAATCTGACGGCACGTTAATGCGTGGCCTTTTTCGGGTTTTTGAAGATATCGAGATGGATTGGACGGACCAGATATCTGGTTCGAGTTAAAAGTATGTGGTTGCGATCCAGAGCTTCAGTTTTGTCGAAATTTGTACCACTGAACAAAAATAAATTTTAAACACTTCATTCAAACCCTCAAAACTCACCACTACATTCTCCCTCCAAATTTTGGCTTTTTAAAAGAAAAAAAAAAAAACACACACACACACACACACACAAATCATTGACTAGCAGCAATTACCTTCAAAACCAAAACCCTAATTCAGATACTCGGTAGGGCTGTCACGTGGTCAAGCTTGTATATCCCGTCATCAAGAGTGAGGTCGGATTAAGTTAAAATTAAACTTATTAGACGACGTAAATATCATTTTTTTTTAATCAATAGTAAGATTAATTTACTGCTCTCCATGCATCTTTAATCAAAATGTCAACTAAAGACGTCTTTATTAAACCTGGCAAAAAGGTTCTTTCTTTTTTTCATTTACAGATTGTGTTGGGAGTACGTAATTATATTGGGGGTTGTGAGTTGTGTAAGCCAAAGCTCGTTGTACGATCACGACACATAACACTAGAATCGCCAAAATGACATATATTCCCTTGTGATGAAGCCGGGCAAATAGTATTGTTTGATACGTTTGACAAAGTGAGAGATTATGGGATCAGGAAGAGTAGACGAGGAAGATGCTATGAGATGAGACGTAAACCTAGAAATCCAAGAGGAAGAAGAAAGGCCGGAAGGAAAAGAGGGGCTTTTTTTTTTTTTTTTTTTTTTTTTTTTTTTTTTTTAATTGGATGCAAAAACATGGAAAATCTTATGACCTAAAGAAAACTTAAACGAGTGACACCATGTAAAATAATGACTCCATAGATTGATAATGTGTAAATATATATAAGGTGTACAACACCCTTATGTGGAAAGAATCCTAATGTAATTACAATTAAGAATATAATAATAACAATAAAGCTAACCTTGTCATGTAAGGATTCTAATCTAACACTCCCTAGTCCCTACCTCACCCCCACAAACTGGACAATCCTAATAAGACGAGTTTGGAGCAAAGAATACCATACCGAGGCTGATGGATAGCTATAGTGAGAATGTTAGCAGGTTGGTCGACAATAGAAATGTAACAAACACAATGACTCCCAACAGTAACCTATTCATGTATATAATGATAACCAAGTTTGATGTGACCTATGTGTGCATGATGAATAGGATTTGAAGCAAGATAAATTGCACTAAGGTTGTCACAATGAAGATTCACTAGAGATGAGAGCCCACCAAGCTCACCTAGAAGAGAGTAAATCCTTATTGTCTCGGCACAAGAGTGAGAGAGAGCCCGACACTTGAATCGATGCTTGAACGGGCAATGATGGACTACTTTTCAGAGAACCAGGAGATCAAATTAGAGTCTAAATAAATAAGATAACCAGTAATAGAACGTTAAGTATCAATTTGCTTTCAAAGTAAGCAGAAATAGACAAATAAATAAGATAACACTTATGCTATAGCTATTACTAAGAATCCAGTTTTCTATAAAAAAAAAATAAAAAAAAACCTAGCACATTGATAGAAGGTACCACTTCATCAAAGATGCACTACAGCAAGGAAAAATCGATTTGCTCTACTATCCTACAAATGAGCAAATAGCGGATATCTTCACCAAATCTTTGACAAGAGAAAGGTTTGGTTACTTGAGGAAGAAACTTGGAGTAAAATCTATGCACGATTTAA